TTCACTCCAATCGATTTGCTGCTCCACTGGATTTGTGAATCATTCTAACCATCCAAGCAGAATAAGAAACTTATGGTAAAAAACAAGCTATAAAATTTTATAACATGAAAAATTTTCACCTTTTACAGCAAAAAGTTATGATTTTTATGGTAAAAAACAAACACCTCACATAATTGAATCTGGATTCACTGCAGTGAATCGAGATTCACTGAAGTGAATCTAGATTCACTCATGCGTTTATTGAAGTAAAAACAAGCTGGATTCATCGCAGTGAATCGAGATTCACCGCAGTGAATCGAGATTCACTCATGCATTTATAGAACGTGTTTGATGATTTTAAGCAAAAAGTTACAATTTTTATGGTAAAAACAAACACCTCACATAACTGAATCTGGATTCACTGCAGTGAATTCAATTATTTAGGACAGCAACTAAAACAAACCCCACAACTAAAATTCTGAACTTTAACCAATTTTAACAAAAAAACTAACAGGATTGCAATTTCTAAAATATTTTAATAGAAACCCTAAAAAAGATTGCAAATTTTGAAAGATAATCCAACAAAACAAACAACCAAGATCGAGTATAAGAGAAACCCCAAGCTAAAACAAATCCTAGAACCAAGATCGCAACTTCAACAATTACCCTAAAAAGAAACCAAAATCAAATTGAAATTAAAGAAAAACGTGACGAACCGAGGGGGTGCTCGAGCTTGAAGGGTTGACGTTGGCGGATCTACGGGTTCGGCGTTGGCGTCGTCGGAGGTGGATGATGGCGAGGTGGCAGGGGGTGGAGGAGCTCGGATCTGGGTTGTTTGATGGTGAGAGAGAGGAAGAGAGAGGGCTGGTTCAAGCTTTTGGGAAATGGAGAGAGAGAGAGGAGAACGTGAGAGGATTGGCTTTTAGTGGTTCAAGCTTTTGGGAAATGGAGAAGCATTAATTACTTCTCTTTAGTGGGCTGTTTATTTTACCTTATTACCCTTATGCAGCTTTAATCTCAGAAATTGGATGAATCTAGATCCAATGGAGAGGAGAGGTTTTTAGTTTTTAGGATCGTGAGGTTTGTATTTGAACCTCTCCCTATATATATATATATAGAAACACACACATAGAAACCAATAAAATGTGTGTGTATATGATATTGAGCTTAGAGTACTTAACGCACATAATATGAACTCTAAACTATTTACTCAAGCAATGATCTTGATCTTCAATAAGCTCTTCTTGGTAAACTTGTGGATGGAGCTTAAACTTGGATCTTCAACTTGAATTGCATTGCTTCACTCCACTATTTCCACCAACCTCCATTAGATATGATCGTGAATGCTCGATTTCATCCATCCTCCAACATATTGTTTGCCTAGGATAGATACAAAACACAAACACTAGACAAACAATACTAGATATAAATTGTTCGTAATTCATCATCAAAACAAAAGGACCCAACACTTAATTTTATCTCAAACCAAATACAATGCCCTGAGGATCGACAAGACATATATCTCCACACTACAGGTTTTCCAAAATAAATAAATAAATAATCTTGTATCACTTCTTAACAGTTAGAAAAAAGAAATGGAAGGAAAGAGAATTTTAAGTTTAACTTCATTTGGGAGTTATGTTGGGAAGGTAAAGAGAGAAAGGAAGGAGAAGTTCTTTTAAAATCAAAATTAACTTCATGACAAACTTTTCCTGGGTAACTTCATGATAAATTTGGCAAAGCCATGAAATGAATACCCTACCAAGTTCTGTATGTGTTCAATCCTTTGGTATAGGCAGGGGAAGTTCATGCGAAACTAATTTGTGAAATTCATTTGACATGTATGACCCTTGCTTATGTGAAATTCATGGCTCGTTTAGTCATTTGACATGTTTGAGCTATAATAAATGAGCAATTTTTATAAGTTCAAGTCATGATAGTTGTTGGGTAAAACAGCATCATTGGGTTTGATCTGCTGTAAGGATGGTTTCTTGTTCTTTACTTTAACATAATTATTTCTCATGGAAGAGATTGATTACAACTTTGTTCATGTGGGAGGGAGGGAATATGGTACTTTATCCTTAACCATTGTCTTAACTTGATAACAAAGGCTCTAATCCTCTTTCTCTTTCAATATTGTTAGTATTGGATCAAGACAAATGCCCTATAAAAGTAAGGACACAACTCATGGTACCTACTAACACTCAATTGTACAGCTAGCTCCACAAAGGCTCTAGCTGAACAATCTTGAAAAAGGTTGGTAAGAGCTTGTTTAGGACTTATATTTTATTGACACATGCATTATAGGGATCATTGCGTTAGAGTGAGGTGTGGATGAGAGTACAATTAATAGAGGCCATAACTTGATCTCATTATGGTCCCATATGAGTGAGGCTTGGTTTCTCTCATGGGTGCTCTGTAGCTCCCAAGAAAGAGTCAATGGCATTGCTATATCCTGAACCTGCAGTGGTTGCTCACATCACACAAATACTATGTTAAAGCTCATGGGTTAATTGTAACATAGACCCTATGCACTATCGCAACGTGTCACTTAATTTCCCTTAAATTTGATGCAGACAGCGTTGTTTTCGGTGAGGTTTGTAGGGGAAATGAAGGAGACAGTGAGGAAAGAATTGAGGCATAGTGTAGTAGTGCATAAGGTCCATCTGTTTCAAATCAATGATCATGTTCAGTTTCAGGAAACTCTATCTAACTATATCAAACTTAGAACGTAATAAGCAGCAAAATGGTTATTAAAAATGTATGCAACTTGTTTATGTTAGATGGTTAATTGTAGGAGTAATTGGATATTTGAAGGAGTTTAGGTTCCCTTGATCTTCTTCGATGGCTAATCGATCAACTGAGGGAAAAAAGATTCATGCACAAAAAACACTTGTTAGAGGGCTGGAGTTTGTTGCTCTGGCGTGCCCTCTGATGTACAAGTCAGTGATAAATTAAGCAAATTTACATAATCTAGTTTCAGAGAGTAATGTAGCAATTTTTTTGCATACCTTCAAATAGTGGAGATTACACATTATTTATAGAGGGATGATAGCGGCACACCGGTAATTTGATCGGGCCGGTTGATTCGGCTAATCAGACTACACTTTACACATGTCGACAGCCTATTGAATGAGTCATCTTCACGTTTAATGCGACATTGACAAAACATCTAAAGTGTTGGCGTGGTCCGATGAGTCATAACTTCGGCCCGAAGAGTCATGATGCTCAATATTAAGTGCAATAGTGATTGAGTGGCGAAGTACAACTATTGTAGCTGATAGGTCATCTAGTTATCCAAGACATTCTCTAGCGAGGGTCCGAATAGAAGACGTCTTTCATCTTAGGCTCGGCTTTTCCTAGCATATCCCGGCTTGAAGACGGGTTTTGTCTCGGATTCGGGCCTACTAGATGGGTTGGAGATGCTCACACCCGGGTCGCGCCCTTAAATTTGTGGGGCTCGGCCAATTAAACATGACACTTGACGGCCTCCTGAGAGTTCATTTACACTTAGTAATTCTCAGGGTATAACATAACTAAATAAATCTGTGTCATGACTACTAGGCCGGCTTGGCCTCTCGGTCCCACGTTTCAGTGTCGGGGTGAAGGGTGGGTGCCGCCAAAACCTGAATGTGGGATCGCTGGATAATTAATTAGACTCAAGTTGACCCGGACCAGGTGTGGACCATAATTAGTATCATGCGTACCTAACTAAATGCTGCCAAAAGGTCAACATGGATTGTTGGTCACATTCCTCTTCATCAACTTGCTTTCATCTCGTTAGAGAGAGAGTGTGTGTGTGTGAGTGTGTGTGCTAATTATAAAAATAAATTGAAAAAAGAGGGACAATGCTTGCACCTGATGAGGATTTGTAATGATTCTTGGAAACAATACTACGTGATTGACTTACTATATTGCAGGTATGCTGAAATGTCAAAATGATCACAATTACATCATATGAGAGAAGTGAGAGTAGAAGGGTAATCAAATTGAAAGAATAATACGGATTAAACGGGGACACTTGGTAGCTTGCAACTTTAAGTCGTTGCAACTAGTTACATATAACTGGATAGAATTTGTCCAATTGCAAAAGCATCTGTTTCGTCATAACTCGTTATTGTTTCAGGCCTTTTAAGAGAATTGTTTCTCAATGCGACCCTACGGGTCATTGGATTGACAAGAAATAGAACAGAAACAACGATAATGTAATAGTTTTAATATATATATTTTTTTTCAAGCCCTCGTGTGTGGCTAAAGGATTGACTACTCCAGTAAATAATTAAATTTATACTTTGTTGTAAAAATGTACTATTTATTGCTGTAATTTTGAAGGTAACAAATGCTGCAAATTCTCTTTAACATAAAATATTAGTATTTTAATTTCTTGCATGTCATTTTGTTGGGATTTCATATATCCAAGGTTGATGGCTAATTATGAAGAGGCCTGTCACTTGACTTGATCTATAATTAATCTCATTAGCATGAGAAAGTATATGATTTATCTGGTCCCTTGTTGCAACGATGAATCAAAAACTTACGAATCCTACTTATATACATAAATCCCTAATAAATTCAGTAATCTCTCTCTCTCTCTTCGTTAATTATCCAAAATCTCACGTTATAACTTACAAATAAAATAATGACAAGATAAATAGATAATAAATAACAAATAGAGCTGCCCCTATCGCTCTCTCTCATCTCGTCATTAGTTATCCAAAATCTCACGCTATAATTAATAATTAAGAAATAAAAATAATGACGAAATAAATAAGAAAATAGATTCATTCCCTCTCCATTAAAGGAGCCGTCACTGGGTACCGAAACCAAAGGCAAGAAGCCACAGTGGCCTCCCAACACTGCTCACTACGATCCAAATAAGATTTACTAATTTATCAATTTCAAGAAAAGTCGAGGGCTTTTGAGCGAATGTTGGACTCCCGAAGACCCCCGAGATCTCTACCGCCAGCGACGACCAGACCCCAACCCTAGTTTTCATGGAAGGTAACTCCTCCTCTGCCTTTCGTTTGTTTCGATCTGCTGCTGTTTTAGGTCCGGGGATTGCGGAATTGGGATAAAGATTGGATTTTTTGGGAGGCTAGGGTTTTGAATTGGGTGCAATTGGGCCCTTTTGGGGTCGTGGATGGGTTGAATTTTTGAAGTCTGGGCCTTTGGTTGGGACTATGCTGTTGTGGCTGAAGATCTCTGTGTTTCACGGTTTGGATGATGTTGAATTTAGGTGCTTTTTCTAGCTGAGTTTGAAAATTTGCTACTTGTTGCATGTTTTTTTTGATGTTGCTCAACTTTTTTTTGAGATTTGATGGTTGGAGTGTACTAAGCAGAGTGGCTTATGCAATTACAGATTAGTGGCTAGATTTAGTATGTAGCTTATGCAGTTGCAGATAAAAGGTGCAGGTCACAGGTTATATCTTGAGCTACTAAGTTTCTTCTTTAGGTTGCGCCGAGTGAGACTATATATGTTTGAACTATGCTAAGGCCTATAGGATGGAAAAGATGGACATATGGATGGTCCATGTTTGACTAGGGCAGTCCCCAACCTAAGCTGAACTTGGTTTGGAATAAGCCAAAGCCCCATCGATACTGCATTAGGACTATGCATTCCAGCTTAGACTTAACTTTTAATTTGAACCCGGCAAGGACTTCCCACGAAGAATTGGTTTGTGTGTGTGTGTGTGTGTGTGTGTGTGTGTGTGTGTGTGTTTTAAGTGACCCAGATTCATAATCTACATGGGTTGGGTTAAGAACCCGCTAGGATCCGATTCTGAAGAGGTTCGAGCATTTAGGAGAGGCATGGAGAAACTCCTCAAATACAAGATATTCTGCATTTGACCGTCTGCCCTTACATTAGAGGATAGTGAATCTTTGAGAGGCGAAAGTAGGAGAGAATTAGAACATTATTCACTGTATGAAGTATGTTGGTTGGTGTGACTGCTGAGGCAGGAGAAAAATGATGCTTTGGGACTCGAGACTTAATATGGAGAGGCAATATATTCACAGCTAAAGTGTTTAGGACAAGGGTTAGTCTTATGTTGCGCCTTGGGTGACAATTATGGAAAATTTATGTTCATTGGCTCCGTAGAGATCTGATGTATTAATCAAGCCTGAAACCGGAAGGATCTTACTCCAATATGAGAGATTGGTTGTGCGTGATTTTGGCTCATATTCAGTTCCATGTTCATCAGTTATGTTTTGGTTAGCAAAACTTTCCCTCAATTAGCATTCAGTTACGGCAAACCCAACCAAATTGCAACCTTTAGTTGTATAAGGAAGTGGAACTCCTTCGGTATAAGTTGTTTTGACTCAAGATTGTCCTGGTCTGCCCAATCCATGACTGAGTGATAAATTACAATGTGTAGGACCCAAGTAGTCAAGAACACTTTTCTCGTCAAGTTATTAACGTATAGCACTTTGGTTGAAATCATTTATTGGCAGTTGGCAGTGTTTGACTCACCTGCAATCCAAAGAGAACGCAAGGTGTTAGACTATGCTACCACTTTCTATTGTTATATTTCCCTATATGATGTTGTTACCAAATTGGTATTTACAACTTTGCGCGTTCTACTCATTATATTTTCAATGTATCTATGAAGTCCTTGTTTTCTTCTTGATCCTTAAGAATTTTTTTGTGCTAGAACTTTGCATGTATGTTCTTTTTTTCTTTCCATTTTTTAATGCTGTAGCCTGATGTGAGCAGGACTTGAACCACCAGATTGCTTGCATCTTCTTAGGCCACATTGCCAAGACTTATCCTTTCCTGTCGTGGCAGTCGCATAAGGTTTTCATATGTCCTTGCAGATGTAAATGAGGACATTTCGTTGATACCAACATAACTAATTGTCTCAAATACTAGTTTGGGTATCTTTTTTGATGTGTAGACATGTTTCAATAGTTATCTCTGGTGGTTGGTTTCTATTACGCCGTAACTGGGGTCCTCAGAATTTTAGTAGAAACGTGCAGGTGATTCGTGCTTGTGAAATTTCAATCTGAACTGCTACCAGAGTATAAAGAAAGGGTGCTTCTGTACACCATATGGTTTTGGTAAATAATACATAATAATAGTATTCTATAGAAACTGTTATGATATTGGCATTAATGGCTAGATAGGAGCATGTTGGTGCATGACCTTGCAAGATGTGTTTGCCTTTTCTGTCATGATATTGGTTGATAGTAACTCTGAGAACTCATGAAAAGAAATTGTCCCCCAAGTAGAAAGATTTGACGTTTATCTTGTATTATACTGGCTGTGAAAAGATGACATTGAAAAATAAACATCCATCCATCGTTGTCTTCATGCACGTGCATGCGAGATCATAATAATACCACTTTCATCCAAGTATGATTAATCTTTTGGTTGAGCTTCTACCATGTTTTTTGTTCATCTCCTTTCTGAATGTTAAAATGGTTGTCCAATATCTTGTTCTTGGTAATTGTTCTGTTTTATTAACTGTATTTAGAAAATCTTTACTGTGTTTATGACATTTTAATCTTGAACAGCATTAGCATGTTTTTTTTTTGGGACAGGTGGGTCGCCAGACCATGCTTCCGCAGGGTCTGGACCTAAAAGATCGAGCGCATCTTCAGGTGGCCGGCCCCGTGGATCATCCTCTTCCAGTCGTAAAGACTTTCTTCGGAATTTTGTTGATAGTGAAATTTTGACAGCGCATCTAGAAGATTGGTTGTCAGGAATATCAGAAGAGTCAGATTTCAGAAAGCCTACCTTCGATGCTCCTTTTAATCTTACCGAACTGCAAAATTTTGATTATGCACTGGAAAATGTTACTTTCCAACAATTGATTCGGATGCCAAATGCTCTCTATTCGTCGACATCTGATGCTATTGAAGAAACGGCACATCTTGCCATTGAAGATTTTCTGCATGCTGGTGTCAAAGGCTTGTGGGAGACATTTTGGGGTCAGGATACTCCTATGCCCTTTCAGGTTGCTTGTATCCATAGTACAAGTTCCAAATTCTATCCTGCTGAGAAGGCTATTGCCAGTGGAAAGCTCGGAGGCCTTTGTGCAACAGCTATATTTCTCAAAAGCAGTCGTAGTTTACATGGGAGATGGGATCAAATTCTTGAATTAGCTTTGTTGAGGCCTGATATTGGGACTCTTGCAGTGCAACAGAATGACCAACAGCCTTCTCATGCTATTTTAGCGGAAGCATTGTTCTTTGCTTTACGTGTTTTATTATCTCGAAGTCTCAGCAGATCAACTACCATACTTCGTAATTCAAGTTGTGTTTTTGTGTTACTTGTCGATTCTCAATACGGTGGGGTGGTAAAAGTGGAAGGTGATGTAAATAAATTGGATTTTGATGTTAATAATGTGTATGAGTGTGCTGCAGATTGGATTAAAATCCATGCCAAAATCAATGTTTCTCCTGTTGATCGGGTCTGGAACAAGTTAGGCAATTGCAACTGGGGAGATATTGGAACTTTACGGGTTCTCCTAGCAACTTTCCACTCTATAATTCAGTTTTTTGGAATGCCCAAGTACTCACTTGAAGATTTGGCTACAGAACATGGTTCTCGACTGCAATACCGAAGAAAAGAGAGGCAACTAGTAAATTCGCATGTTAATGAAAATGGTTTGTTCCGTTTTCAGCAGCGCAGCATTTCTCCTGAAATTGTTGAAGTTCAAGAAGAATCTGTCAAAATTGAACCAAGAGAAACCTTAAAGCTAGAAAGAGGATCAGTAATATGGCTCGAGGCTTCTAGCTGGCAAAAGGGTTTCCAGATAAATGAAGTTGTATCCGATGGCGAGGTCCCAATATACAAGGCAAGTCCTGTAGAAGAACAAGGGAAAGCCTTTCTCTTGTATGTTGGCTCAAGTCCCTCACATTTAGAGCCAGCTTGGGAAGATATGAACCAATGGTATCAGGTCCAGAGGCAGACAAAAGTCTTAACTTCGATGAAACAGAGAGGCCTTTCGAGTAAATACCTACCTCAAATTGCTGCATCTGGACGAATTATTCACCCAGGTCAATGCAATAAGCCTAAGACTGGAGGAAATTGCAGCCATCCTTGGTGTGGGACCCCAATCCTTGTCACTACTCCATGTGGCGAACCTATCACTACTTTGATAGCTAATGGTATGTTCGGTCCTGACGAAGCTCTCAAATGCTGCCACGACTGCTTGTCTGCGCTCTCAACAGCCTCTTCAGCTGGAATCAGGCACGGAGATATCCGGCCAGAGAATATAATTCGTGTGAGCAATGGGGCTCGCCATCCCTTCTTCGTTCTCATAGGGTGGGGCCACGCGGTTCTTGAAGATAGAGATCGGCCATCGATGAATCTTTTCTTCTCTTCTACCTACGCTCTTCAAGAAGGAAAATTATGTGCGGCGTCAGATGCAGAGAGTTTGATTTATCTTTTGTATTCTTCATGTGGTGGAGTTTTTCCCGAACTAGATTCAGTTGAAGGGGCTCTTCAGTGGAGAGAAGTATCATGGTCAAGACGAGTTATACAACAGAAGCTCGGGGATGTATCTGCTGTCTTGAAAGCTTTTGCTGATTATGTAGATAGTCTTTGTGGGACTCCATACCCAATAGATTATGAAATTTGGTTAAGGAGGCTGAGAAGGACAATGAATGAAGAAGATCATGGGAAGGAGATTGTTGTCTCAAATTAAGATTGTTAGTGGCTTCTGGACGAAAATTTTGTAGAGTCTGAGCTCCATTTTGAATGCATAATTTCTCATTGGTGTTTGAAGTTTGAACCAGATCCATACATTTTCAACGTAAGCATCAGTTCAGAGACATGGCTGTATAGATTCTTTGAAGGCTACTTCCGAGAGCACCAAATGTTAGGCTTATGTGTGTACGTAGCGCCTGGATGCCACTAGCTGCTATCCTGCTTCTCTCAGGGATTTATGTAACTAGGAAAGAGATGACACTCAAATGCTGCTTCAATTATTTGGATCAATATGATGGCTAGATTGGTTGGTTCAGGTACTAACCGGGATTCGCTGATTATGCTCAGATTACCGGTCATCATTCGAGTGAGTCAGGTGAGAAAATGTTGATTTTTCGTTGTTTCCTTCTTTCCTTTTCCTTTATATTGTCCGATTCTTTTCTTTTACTTGGATGGCCTTGTGTTATAGTTTTGGGTTATACCTTTATCATTCAATGGTTCCCTCATCCTTTTTTGGGTGTCTTTTGTGTAAATGGTTCTAGTGTCACTTACTGGGGCTTTTTTGGCTTAGGAGAATGAAAGACAATCTATTGTTTGTTACCTTTTATTTTGTGTGGATATCGAACAGTTACCAGTGGAGCATTTTATTGTGGTTGTGTTCTGCTTCCTTTTTTTTCTTTCCCACTATTCTTGTGTTAAATATTACACTCCTTATGCTTTTCTCTCCCTATTAAAGCTGCTATGTCAAGCTTCAGACAGTTCGGATATGCTAACTACCAAGTGCATATTAAATTGCCATACACTGAAAGCATGATACCCTCAAATGCCTGCTCTTCAATCTATCTGTTTTTCCTGGGGGGGGGGGGGGGGGGGGGGGGGGGGAGGGGGGGGGGGGGGGGGGGGGGTCCTCAGGGGTCTGTGCTGCCAATCCGGACAATTCGGGGATTTACTGAGGTTCTGTCTGCAGTAAACCCTTCTTGTATTTTCCTTCTCTCTATTTCCTTCAACATTTCAGCTAAATTTTGTTTAAAAGGACATCGGTTAAGTATTTATCGTATGTTGCACACCACATCCATCTATTCTATGAAAAGGCTTTTCATTTTTAGAAACTTTTGGGAGACCTGTAGTTCAGTTTGAGTATTATTATGAGTATTAAAATGAATCTTTGTACATGCTGGATGCAAAGTGTTTGAACTGCTTACAGTTGATACGTCTGGTCCCTGAGGTGTAAATTTCAGCGCTCACATCTCATGAAGTTGGAAGGAATATCCTTATGGCTATCAGAGCAACTAGATAGCTCGTGTGGGGGTGATTTCGGTCATGCTTTACGTGATACGATCGTAATGGTATCGACGAACATGTGGTCGCTGATATATTGCTTTCGTTCTGAATTTTGTTCTGCGTATCTGGCTGGTTCTTTCGTCTCTCATTCTTGGAAAATTACGTTTTCAATGTCATTTTGAGTGCATGTTGTTATATTATCATCATGTTTCGTTATAATTTTTCCTTGTGATCGTGTAAAAAGCCTTTGAGGAATCGTCATTACATCCTTAACACGTATGTAAAGCTAGCAAGAGATGCTCTGTAAGTTATGCGCAGCTGATGGTGTACTCAAATGCAGGGAACGGTGAGCTTGTAAAATTTGGATAGTGGGTTCATATCTATGTTAAGGATATTTTAAGTCAGCAAGATCTCATCCCAAATGATTGCTAACATCGGTTGTATATGTTGTTACTTGAATGCTCCACTGCTGATGCATCTTGATCCACTTAAGAGTAGTAATGATAACCATACTGAAAGGAAAAAAAAAAAAAAATTGGGGTTTACGGTGACTCAAAATCTCTTTGACAATTTCCAAGAAAAGACCCATTTGTTAGAGATAGTACGAAAATAGTATAGAATTTAGTCCTACATCGGATATTAATTGAACGATTGAATTGTTTAAATGATGGGTTTTGAGAGTCAAGTGTAACATTGACTGGTCAATGTTAGCAGTAGGTTGAACCAAATCACATGTTGCATTCAGTGGGTCTTAAGGCTTACATTGCCCCATCAGACTGTCCCGTCTTAAGGCTTACATTGCCCCATCAGACTGTCCCATCAGACTCGCGGGCGAGTGTTTGACATATCCAATGATTATTGGCGTTATAATTATAACTATGTACAAGAGGAATAAAGAGGGCTTGCAAATTAGCAAACAAGTCAAGAGTAGTTATTATATTTATGCATGCTTAATTCTTGTCAATCGGCCATTAATATTTCAACCTCATTGTAGCACTAATTCTAGGGTGTCGAACGTGCACCAAAAAGATGTCATTTTTTGGACCATTGGACTTTGGAATTCATGCACAATTCAAGAGAATTAAAATGGAATAAATACAGTAAAATTTTGATTCTGTAACCAATATACCAATATTAAGAACCTTCACCAACTCCTAGCACTTCAATAATAATGGGGCTACTATATTAAACTTTTGAGGGATTTTGCACACAACCCCTCTGAACTTTATTTATTCCATTTAGCCCTCCTGGACTTGTCGACAAGGGATAAATGACATGAAACATTCGTATGTTGAGAACTTGCACATTGGTTCAACATGTTTGCTAATTTCTTTCTTCGTTGGGGGAAGTACTTGTTATCGACGAATAAATTGAGTTTTGTTACGGATGTACGCAGATAATAATGATATAGGACCAAATGCATGCACCAAGAGAATATGCTCAGTATGGACTACAATTCCAGCTAAAAGACAATTGTAAACAAATTTAAAGCTACATAGACAAACATAAAAAAAAAAAAAAGAGGAACCAATAATAAGAGCTCCCAATTAGTGACGCCATTTAACTAACATTTGTACGTATATGTCATCCTGTAACATCAATTATCAAGCATTCTTGTCTTTTATCTACGCATCTCTTCATGCAGGCTTATGCTCGTCTACAATTGCAATAAAATTAAAAAACAAAACAAAAAAAGAAAACTACACTGTCTCCAAAAGAAAACAAAAATAAAAACAAAAACAAAACAGACAAAACTCTACATATCAAGAACTGATACATACATGTAAGAAGGTTATCCTCCCTTCTTTCTGCACCTAGGATTCTTATCCCCGGTTGTCGAGCAGCTAAATTCAATTTTATTTCCGCATCCAAAAAATTCAAATCCGAGGATTTAAATGAGCAGAGCATTGAATCCTAGGTGCATGTACCAAGAAAATTTGAGAGATCAGCACATCACCGAAGGTTGTACCTTGATGGCATCCTCGGAAAAGTCGACGCAACTAACTTGCCAAGCCTGCAAAAGCAAATGCAGCTAATGACTTTGGTCCTCGATGCATAGCAACAATCGACTCGAAATAGAGGTGATGCTTTTGTCATGATATGTTGAGGTTAAGTTGTCAAACCACCAATCACACAAAACAATAACAACAAGATTATAGGTTATTTCAGCTCGTTTTCGTAAAATATTACTATGTGTTGTAACAATCGCAGTTTGATGGTGCTCTTATATAGATATGCTAATTACTGAGTTGCCCGTACAAATCGTCCATTTTAAACCAAGCTCTCGGTAAATAAGAGAAAGAAATTAAAATTAATATGAAAGTCACCAATTTCTGAAAGAATTCAGACTGGAGGTGAAATGTCATTCTAGATCAAATTTCTAACACACGTTAAAACTGAAGCCACGTAACACCAAACTAATTGGTTGTTTTTGAACTCGACATCTGGGGATGAGGCATGATAGATGATGAAAATAGCAGTCCTGGGGAGTCATGGATGATCATCTTGATCTTGAGATTCTTGATTTGGTCTGCTGGATGAGCATTGGTTGTTACTTAATTTTGCCTTGCTTTTTTGTTTTCGGAGGATATCTTTCAGTGAAAATGCACTCATACCTTTCATGTGAATGGCTAGTATTATGCTACAAAGTTTCATTGTGATCTTATCAATTGAATAGGGTGGATTTACTCTAATTTGAACCAGTTAACTATTGTTCTCAGTGAATTAGCTTACATTGTTTATGCATGTTAACATAGTGAAAATTCTGCTTGATTGAATTTTAGCTAGATTCACAATCAAATTAGTTGGAACAAAGAACAATATGAAAACTCTTAAAAAGAGATTACCTTATGTCGTTAGCACTTGAATATTATGATCAGAAGAGGGTAAAATCCTACTGGAGTTATTAACCTCGTAATCCGTCGCAATCACAACCACTGCATTTGCTTCGTCCTCAATGCTTTTATCCACAATCGGTCGCACTCCAGAGTAACTATAATTTATTTGATTTTCCTCCTGGATATTTGGTTCGTCGGTTGTAACCTTCTCATTTAAATCATCACAATCAACAGTGGTATAATCCAAATTCTGTAATATAGTTGGTATCGATGTACTGCCACCTAATTGAAGTTTACTGGCCATATCTATGTCGACCTTCTCCTTTGAAGTTGTGATATCGGTTCCCATATTTGGAGTATAACATCCAACTTCTATCATCTCTTCAAGCACCCATGATCTGAAATCATTCATTGGAGGGGGAATTTTGGAGAAAAACACATCGATGAAGTTCTGCAATGCACCCTTGTTATATGGATTGTCCTTCTTATCATAACGATACCGGAAATTTTCATAAGTTGTCTGCAAGAACACATAATAAGTTCAGATACATCACACAACTAAACTTAGGGTAAAATACTTACCCCACCCACACAAAAAAAAGTCTCTCTTAACCCCCTTAATCTAACACCATAAACTTTGATGGCTCACATGCCTAGCACATGACGGAAAAGGACGAAAATGGCCCTTAGTTTATTACAAATCACCCTTTTCAACAGCAAGTGCAGCCCAACCATTTTTTTCAAAAGGCCATTTTCATCATTTTCCCATTAACCATAATGACGTCAGGGGGTCAATTGAGAAAACTTCAAAGTTCAGCATTTAAGTTATATAAACAAAGGTTCAGGTGGAGGATATGCAAAAACACCCAAAATTCAAGGGGTGGGGATTTTTTTGTTTTGTTTTGTTTTTGTTTTTGTTTTTTGTTTTTTGTTTTTTTTTTTTTGGGGGGGGGGGTTTTTTTTTTTTTTTTTTTTTTTTTTTTTTTTTTTTTTTTTTTTTTTTTTTTTTTTTTTTTTTGGGGGGGGGGGGGGGAGGGAAATTTACCCACTAATTATTTCAGCAAGTGTATATACAGATGCATAATTTGTTTAAGTTTGTTGCTGATAATATTTTTGATTGATACCTGATTTGTGCAGATCAAATAGGTATGGAAGATGGTGAGCCCACCAATGAACCACATGGTCAAGAAAGTGTATATAATGAGCACAAGTGAGATGACTTCACCGGTCATCGACCTCAAGAGGGAGTTATGATGATTCTTCTTTTCCTTGATTATATTCAACCATGAGAAGGTGAAGACATATAGGCAGAGTAGCGTCGATGTGGATATAAACAAGAAAAAGAATCGGTAGTTTCTCTGCAGTTAATTACATAAACAATGTTAATAGATTCAAGTAATTCTAAATATTGACAAGCTACTTTTGTTGACGAGAAACAACTAAATATGATTCATTATTAAAAAAACATCTGAAGGTTTAGAAACATGTAGTAAGGGTGAGAATGCTGTGTGCATGATGGGAACTGGATAAGAATTTCAAACTTCGAAGAAAAGAGCAAATATTTGATCTCAGTGTCAGAAGGCATTTCATGAAGAAGAATCAAAGGGGAAAGAAGAAAAGGAGATTCTCAAATTATGGACGAATATTTATTCTCTTTATTGTAGTTTCAAACATTTTCAGGTTAAGATGGGTACAGGTGGAGCATGAAAAATACTTATGGTAACGACGTAATGTCTAAGTGGAGCATGAAACATACTTATGGCAACGTCTAAGAGTTGGTGTGAAACACGCACCCGCAGGTCAATAGGTAAACACCCACTCATCAAGAAGGTGAAGAAGAAGAAGAAGAAGAAATTGCACAGAAATAAAAATAAAAAAAGAAAGGAAGAAAAAAGGAAAGAAGATTGTGGAAGTTTATGAATGATAATGGAATATGACATGGCTTCCCATATGGAATTGCATCATACGCAAGGAACAATATTAAATCCCGAGACCAAAATTGAGACACGTTCCTCTTCACCCCATATCTAACTCTGTAATCCATATTTCTTTATAATAGTATCATCGATAAAAAAACACAAGAAAAGAATCTCTATACCATAACTTACTAGTCCAATGCACTGACCAACCCAAGGGCAATGGTGATCAAACTTCTGAACGCAATTGTTGCAGATCGAACAATGTGAAGCGCGTGGTGGGCGATACAAAAGGCATGTATCACAATATTTTACTTTTACCGAATAACCATTTACCATGACATCCTTTGTTCTCGGTAATCTCATGTGTGGGGTTCTGCCACTAATCCATTCCATAGATGGAGTAGTGACATCAATTGCTTCTTCTGATTCTGGAGGTCTTGAATTTCTCGGTACTATCCCTGGATCTCTACTAGATGTCATTAAAAGAAAAGTCAAGTCCTGCATCATCCAACATAAATCTTAGCTCACT